CTATAACCAAACCGCACACACAACACATTTGAAGTGCTCGCTCTCTTTCCTGGTGATCTGGAAAGGGGCTGCAGCATGCAACTGCAGTCCGCACCTGAACAGGCTTTCACTGTTGACACCAAACCAAAAGCCCTAAACCCTAAACCCTAAACCCTAAACCCTAAACCCTAAACCCCAAACCAAAAGCCCTAAACCCTATTTGCCCCCTCTAAAGTTTCAACCTGTCCTTGGCCGTGAGCAAGGCCAGGCATGCCTCGAGCCCGGAGCGCCCCAAAATACATGGGCTTTGCTCTACATTGGGGGTTTCCGAAAATTGGGGTACCTTATTTTGGGGTCCTTATATTAAGGATCCTATTATTTAGGGCACTATATTAGGGTCCCCTATTTTCAGAAACTCCCACATAGGGGCCTTTGTAAGCTCGGCGTTCCAAAGCAAGGGTACTTGCTATTGCCGATCTCATGATGTAAGTCTAGATTGGTGCTCCTTTTTTCCTGAGAGTCTGGGATGTGTGGCTCAAGAAGCTCAGGTGTTCTCTTTGGGGCTCACAGGTGGAATGCGCTTTAAGCTTTACCTATTGCCACAGCCACCGGCTTCACCGAAGTGAAATCAATCTCGATCTTCAGAAGCACCTCTATAAATACAGTCATGCCTAATGTGGGATAATACACAACCACAGCAACAAAACCGTTAGCCGAACCGTTAGAGCCTCATAGCGCACAGAGCCTGCACCCGAAACGAACTCTGAAGCAAACAACCTAGAGGTTTGACAACTCATTAGTCATACTGGCCTTCTCTCGACCCTACACTGCTTTACGATTGTACTTCCCCCCCAACCGGCGCAAGAAAGACCTAGTCTAATGATTGTGGCCCCTATGTTAACATCCCTTTGGAGCCTGTCCCGCCGGATCGACATTCGCAACGACTTTGACAGCGAAGTGGAGCAAGGTCAGATCGAATTGGAAGCGAGATCTGTTTCGGTTTTGGGTTTAGGGTTTAGGGTTTGAAGAAGCACGGAATAGGCTTGAGTCGATGGAGTTTTGGATCTCGGTGGCACAAGAGTTTAGGGTTTACGGTATGCAATGCTTAGGGTGGAGACCCTAGGGATTAAAGGTCGGGATCGATGTGGGGCTGAAAGCTCATGACTTCAACATCAAGGCGCGCGGATGATAACCCCCGTGAGGGTGTGTGTGAGTGCACGTCTTTCCCTCAATGTTGGCATGTGTTCTTTTTTTTCGTGGGCCTGTCTGCCTGTCTTCCTCTGTCTGTCAGTCTTATGTTCGAGGTCTCTTGTGGCTTTTGGGTTGTACTGAGTATCTGTGTACGCGACCCTGTAGGTACGTGTGAGGCCACGCCTGCACTGTCAAAAACATGTATCAACCGCAGGCTGCCTCAAAACTTCTTGAAACCCCCCAAGGTAAGAAGCCACCGCAATCGCCAAACCTGCAAGCTGGAAACGAACACTTGCACCGGAAACCACCTTGAACAAAATCCGCGCAAAACTGACAAACTCGGAAAAGAACGCCGCCAGGTATGCCAGGCAACAACACAAATTCCACAACACAAGTTCAATTTTGCAGAGGACTAGTTCAACAAGGCTGGGTGACCCTCGGTCCTTCAACCATGTGCCAGACTTCCTGTTCCCTTGATACAGGCCTCGGCTCTTCAAGACGCACCCGAAATAGAGCATAACATTAGGAACAGCAAGACACAGTACCAGACGCGGTGCTATTTCATAAGCAAAACAGAAAACGAACACGAAATAGCCAAAAGTTAACATCAACTAAACCTACAACCTAAACCCCAAACCGGCACAGCGATCACAACAAGTACCGTCTGGAGAAGGGTGTCCTGCCTGAGAACGTCCCGCAGCTGAGGCTTCTCGTCTTCCTCTGCTATCAAAGCCTGCGATGCTTGCTATAGGGGGTTGAAAAAATAGACTAGGGTTTTCGGGATGAACACCCCAAAAATAGCCCTCTAGTACTTAGGATTTTGTCGTAAGCGTAGGACTTACGTCAGCATAGAGTTTGGGGGAAGTTCAGTCGAAGGTTTCCACCAGTTACTTAAGGCTGTAGAAATGTGGGGGCCTGAATAACAAGAACAGGATTTTGGGGATCCCTTATTATAATTAGAGTATAGTAGACCCCGAATCCCTATTCCAATGTGGATTAACAAGTGCGGATCTGCACCACCCGGGCATGCATGATTGATGGACCAAAAAACTAGAATCTAAGTCGAAGGCTGGACGGACCCACAAGCAAGCCCCTGGGTTTGATGCCTAAACCCCTAGACCCCTAAACCCTAAAGACTACGACCACAAAGCTCGCTCAAGCGAGCACCTATACCCTGCCATGGCCAAACCTCAGCGTTCAACATCATGGGTTTAAAGTAGTTTGAAGCCTCAAGGCTCGTAGAAGAAGGCCAAGACTTCAAGACCCTGCCTATAGTCTCCATTGTAGTTCCTTGTAGAGGATACCTTATAAAACCCTTAATATATTTGGTTAAAAATTGGTTAAACCAAAAAAAGGAATCACAATGGAGACTATAGGTGAATCTGAATCCGTAAAACTGTAATCTGAAACGGCCTGCAAGGTCCGCATGTGTGTCGCTGCCCGATGGACGGCACCACAGCACCCGTCCTCTGCGGCTCTCTGCACGTCTGTCTCCCCGTCTGTCTGTTTGCTCAAGACCTGATTGTGTCCACTTCGAGTGCTCTTATGCAGCCACCCCGATTGCGATGGGGCAAGCCTCCTTGGCTGCTCTCACTCTCTGTCTCGATCCCCCTCTCTCCCTCTCTCTATCTCTATCTCTGTCAATCTTTCTGTCTCTGTCTCTCTATCGGTAAGAATCATGCTAGTAATTTCTCTTCCCGGGTCTAGAGCAGTGCTTTGACTGAAGAATTCCAGCAAATCGCTCGACAATTTCATCCAACAATTTCCTACAAGTCCCACAAGCAGCACTAGTCACTAGCAGATATCAGCAGCAGCCGCGGCAGCAGCAGCAGCAGCGGTGCCATCAGCACCCCCCGACCTGACCCAGCCCCTTTGTTATTGTTGCTGTCCTGGACCGCCTTGAGGAGGTACTGCGCCACGTCCTGCGCGCAAGTGTGCTTCAGCGGCACCTGGCGAAGATCCGCAGTCTGAGATCCCGCGATTCATGAAACTCAGCTCGCAGAGGTTTGCGGCAGAGGCAGGCGGACGTGTGATCATAGCCGACAGAACCAGGAAATTGGGATCGTTCTCAAGCTCAAAGATTTCGATTTCGGTGTAGAGTTCCGATTCTAGTGTTTACGGCTTAGGGTTTGGGCTGTGCAGCAGAATTTAGCAGTTTAGCATTTAGGACTTATAGGGCTCGGGGTCTACGACCCGAAAAAGTTTTCAACTCTCACTGGTCGGCAACCATGTCTCGCAGAAGCTGGGTGCCTTGCAACAAAAAGGCCCCGATGTGGAGTTTAGAGCGTACAGTTTTACGGTTTAGGGTTGAGTTTGGGATTTAGAGTTTCAGTTTTTAAGTACTGACTGTATTACCAGTCATTGTTGCCCTCGTCTAACCAGTGATTCGATTTCTCCGACGAGTGGATTCTCTTCCTTGCTATAAACTATACTGCGCGATGACGTATTATCATTTTCGATCATATACTCGAAGGTACCATAAAATTACTATGGCAGACCATGATACACTATGACATACTATGATCGACCATGACTCGCCCCTGTATAGCTTGCGATAACCTACCGAAATGTACTATGATTGTGGCAGCCATTCTGCGTGCTTTCGCCGAGTTCTACAAGCCGCATGTGCCTCCGTAACCACTCGAACACTCTTCAAGAACTCCACCACGTCTGACCTTGGCAGATTGACAAAAGCAAGCCTATGGGTATCCACTAGACTAGGGCGTCGCAAGTCCTGTGCCAGGTTTCTGGCTTTCTTTCTTTGGCGAAAGTAGTGTCTCTCTCCGTCTCTTTCCTTGCTTCTCTGTGTCTCTCTCTCTCTCTCTCTCTCTTTCTCCTACACTCCCTACATCTGTTACTGTACTTCGCTTGCTGACCCATGATCATGCACAAACCCTTTGTCCCTTTGTTGGCCAAAACCCAGCGTCGTCGCCAGGCCAGGCTTCCCTATCGCCATGAGATGCCATGAGTCCGCTACGGCGAACCAACCCGGGCTTCCCAAATGAAAGATCTTGAAAGCAAAGAGCAGTGCCAAGAGCTGGAAGTTTGTAACACCAACGAGCGACGTACCTAGTTTAGGAGCCTGGGACAGGAAAAGCTACTCAATGTAGCTAAGTTAAACCCCAACACCCCGTGCTAATTATGCCGGGCTCCGGAGAAAGCCTACAAGTAAAGCTCTGAAGGTCCTAAGTTCGAAGTTCGAAGCAAGAGTTCGGGAGTTTGGGTGTTTATGTATGTAGGGCTTCGAAAGTTTCGGATAGACGGTTTGACGTGAAACGTTACTTGCGTCCGGTTGAAGAAACATACTAGACCCCTCATCCATCAAGCTTCCTTGCTTCGTGAGGACGGTGATAGGCGTCGTACCCCCTATGAGCCTTGAAAGGGGCCCTAGACCTCACAAAGCCCTAAACCTCAAACTCCAAAGCCAAACACCCCAAAGAGCTCCCACAGCTCGCCTCTTCCTGGATTGGGCATAGTGGATGGCATTACAGCAGTAGCCATCTATCCACTGCACCTCTCGGGTTCGGTTCTTAAGGCACGAGCGATTTCAGCTTTAAGGCACCAGCACTTCAGGGTTCAGGGCTCCTGGCCAGTAGGGATGATATAGAAAGACTTCGGGAATTTAGGGGTTTTACAGCAGCATCCGAGGTCGCAGGGCTTCTGGCTCTATGGTTTCAAGTTCAGGGGTTCGGGTTTAGGATTGTTGAAGGAGTTCAAGGTTTAGGGTTCGCGCATTCTGCCCGAGATTTTACATGTGTGACCTGTCCACGCTTCAAGTTGTAGAGTTTCGGCCTTCGAGTTATCATTTCGGGGGAAGTTCTACAATCTTTGGGCTTTGAAGATGGAAAACCGTATGCCCTCAGGCTTCTATCCTGACCGAAAACTCCACAGCATACAAACGGTGAAGCCAAACATATGCCAGTTAACCGACAAATTAGATGCCCAAGCCCGCCCCTCACGTCCCTGAAGTCCCTGAACAGTGCCCCTTTAAAGACCCTGTGCCTCGGCACCGCTCTCCACCAATGCCTGGTCCAGGCTTCAGGTGCCCTTCTTAGCCCTTCTTGGCTTAATACGAGTCAATACGAGTGAGATGCAGGCACGCAAGGAAGAACAAACAAAAAACAAATCGTTATTACATACGCATACATACACGCGCGCACACACACACACACACTCGCGTGTGCTGTACAATCTATAGGACAGACTAACACTAGCACATGCGTATATAATGGATGCAAATTTCTGCGTGTGCAAATGTAATAATACTATCCGTATGTAAATGTATGTATATGTATGCATATGTATGTGCATTTATACACACATGTATGGAGAGAGAAAAAAGCGAGAGAGAGAGAGAGAGAGAGAGAGAGCGAGAGCGAGAGCGAGAGCGAGAGCGAGAGCGAGAGCGAGAGGGAGGGAGAGAGTGCGAGAGAGCGGCAGCCCAGGACATTTACCCCGGGTGCTGAAGGGACTGGCAGCTACTCAGGACCAAGAGCTTTCTAGGACTGGGGCTTTAGGCGTTTCGGGGGTTTAGGATTAGGTTTTATGCTTTAGATCAAGCAGCGGCCTCAATGCGTCTTCTAAAGAGGGACTTGTGGATAAAGGTGCATTCTGTCAATATGTTTAAGGAGGACCCGAAGAGTAGGGTTCCGGGTTTAAGGGTTTACGGTATGTAGTTACGGATGATGATATGGATAAGTGCTCAAGGGTTGAATGTTGAAGACATATGTTGCAGGCAACGGTGGGGTGCACGACAGCCAGTATCTGCCAGCCACAGACAGGCAACAAAGGAGTCTGCCCCCCTAGGCGCCAAGTTCGACATCCCCAATCACCCCTCCCCGACCCTAAACACCGAGCCTCCGAACCCATGAACCAGCAAAACAAAAAGACTCCTCCGTCCGAAACTGCCTGGCAAACTTCCAGATCGCCGCCAGCCGCGAAGCACATGAGAGGCGTCCTCCAAACTTCTACTTCAAGGTCTTGGGCTATCCGGACAAGAGCTTCGGATTGACGGTTTCGAGAGCTTGACTTGCATCAAGTTGCGCTTCCGGAAAGGAGGGGTTCCATTTGAGTCCCAAGCACGCATGCTTCAATCCCACACTTTTCAGCCGCACAGCACCAAAATCAAGATCCCTAACCTACCCTACACGCTACCCTACACGCTTTTGCCCAAAGTCTAAACTGATTCTGTCTGAGATATAAAACCCCTATGCTTCGTGACAGCCCGCCTCTTGCCCACACTTCGTGCAGAGACCTGGCGAGGATCTGCGGACGCAGCCAGCGCGGCCTCTGCGACAGGTCGACGCTTGGAGCTGCGGCTGGGGAGTCTTATGATCTCAAGCAGGTCGGCGAAGGCATTTGGGCCCGCGCAAAGCTTCAGCCCATACTTCAGGAGCATTGGGGTTTCGAAACCAGCAGTGAAAGGGCAGCATGTTTTCCCCGTTGCGCACGGGTTTTCCGGTTCCTTGTTGATCGTGTCGTCTGTCTTTAAATCACTACATTCGCGATGTTCCAGGCCTTCGCGTAGGCCGAGTCCTGCGCCTGTGCAGCCAACTTCAGGTGGGAGTGGACCGACTCCTCATCACCATATCCAAAAATGGAATCAAGGACCGGTTCGTGAAGCTTCGCTCATGATCTTAGCAGACTCTAAACTCGAAGCCCATAAAGCATCAGACCACAAACGCTAAACCCTTCTTATGCACAACCCTGAAGCAGGCTCCTTGAAGCAGTGGGCTCCGACCGGGGTGCCGTCGCCGAGACGCATACAAACCAACCTTACCGGGATGAACTGCAGGTCCGGCTTTAGGGTGTGATGTAGGGGCCTGAATAAGTAGAAGAGGGTTCTGGGGTCCATTAGACTAGAAAGATAATAAGGAAACCCCAAAATTGTATTGGTACTTATTCAGGCCTCTGTATTTGTGTTCAGGGTTTGGAGCGTAGGGTCGGGTTTAGGGGCTATGTGGTCTATAGACTGAGTATACATATGTGCCCACATATGCATAAAGGCCTTTATTGATGATCTGGCACGTCAACCGGGGCATGCATCCATTTACCTGCGTGCAAACATACAGCGCAGATGCGCAAAAGCAGGTGATGCCTGCATATGAGCAGAGACACCTGTTGGCAAAGAAGCACTTGTCATTGCATCTGTGCGCATACGATCTCACCCCACTCGAGACAGGATTCTTCATTGCCAGGACATCCCAACAAGCTACCCCCCAACTAGCTCCCGCTATGGAACCGAGAAGCAGAATCTCTGTTGGAACTGGAGCCCATGGCAAACAGCCACCAAGGCGAAGCGAGGCGACTATGAAACCCTTACAAAGCTCGGTAGTAGACATGACATAAGATACTCCTGGCTTTAAGAAACCCGTTATGCAGTCCTATAGGCCCCCTCTGAAACCCGCAATAAGACATCCCTCATTTCAAGCAGAGGTGCATCTTCACCAAATCGATTTGGCCCGTCCTCAGGGCATAGTCGCACCTCAGCGAACGCTTCTGGACCGATTGCCAGTGCAGCTTTAGGCAAAGTAAAGCACCACCATCACAATGCTCAAACTTCAAGCCGTACCACCATAAGCCCAGAACCTCAGGGTGGGGGTTCGCTCAGTCATAAGTCAGAGCTAGCTTTACGGCATTGGGAGTCTGCATCTTCAGCACAGCCAACGGGAGCATGGAGCCTCTTGCTTACGTCAGCAATTCTGCTGCTCATGATCACGGCCACCAAGTGAAGCTGGTGATAACGACGGTAATGACTGCAATCTCAAGGGGCATTATCAGGACCTTCGCAACATCGCCATCGTGACAAGTAGTACCATTCTTGGTTAACGATTCGCAGCAGTCACCAATAGGGCCATAACATGAAATGGAATCGGAATGACGAATGATGTTCATAATGATCGCCAAGCAGATGGCATGCAGAATAAAGCAGAGAAGGCATGAGCAGGGGATGAACGAGCACATGTAGCAATCGCAAACCCATCGATTGTTACGCCCGCAAGAGGATTCCGGCAAAATCGTCAGCCAACAGACTGCCAAGCACAGCAGCACACAAACAACAGAATAATGATCACATGACGGCCACGGCTCAGATAGCGGCAGCCACGACGACAACTACGATAAGCCACAAAAGATAGACACTACATGATGTATGTTAGGAAGTTTCGCAAGGAAGGCACATGAGCAGTCGCACCCAGAGGAGTGCCAACACTAGTTAACCGATGGCCAGACTCAAGACAAATAAACGCGCAAGTCTGTCAAACTACATATCTAAATGCACTCCGAAACCCCGAACACCGAGCCCCACGCCCGAAACTCTACCATAGGTCGAGGCAGCCACCTATTGAAAACTGCAAACAAGGTTCAGCGACTCCTTCCCACTGCCCAGCACTTGGTCCTTGGCCAAGCGGGGGCAGTAGTAGTAGTAGTAGTAGTAGTAGTAGTAGTAGTAGTAGCAGTAGTATTAATAACAATAATAGTAGCAATAGCAGTGGCAGTGGCAGTAGCGGTAGCAGTAGCAGTACGAGGAGTAAGTAGTAGTGGCAGTACTACTAGTAGTAGTAATAGTAGTCGTCGTCGTAGTAGTAGCAGCAGTAATAGTAATAGTA